AATGTGCCCAAATGAGTGAAATCTCTGGGTTCCTGAAAAGCAGCGGCTTTCAGAGGATTGTCAAAGAGTACCAATTCAAGTTCCAGTACGGAAAGCAGACTGAAGTCGGAATTTTCGGAAAGCGAAACAATTCCCAAAGATTGGATTCGCAGTCAGAATTCAGACTTAGGACTCGTACCAATTGAAACAGCAATGCAGCAGAGAACGAGAATTCACAGGAAGGTGGAAAAAATGAATTTTTGAAAGGAGTTTGCACAATTTCGGATTGTGAGAGAGATGCGAGGATTAAGTCCCTCGGCAGTGTTGGAAAAGGCCGTGCCCGCCCTAAGTGAAGGCGGGCCTGCAAATATGCCCCTGTGAGGCTGTGCCTGATTAGAGCCCAATGTGACCAGGCTAAAAGGGATGAAGCAGAGCCTGCTGGAATCTTTATGCGGGCCTGGATCTTCGATGAGGCCTATTTGTGAGTTCACTGGGCCCAGACCTCACACCAGACATTTACTGGGCGCCAGATGGTTACAGGGCACTGCATGCATGACCGCGACACTTGAGCCTTCCAGGCTCTTCCAGACAGCAACGTGGAAGGAGGAGGCCTATCGGCCAATCAGATCGCAGCGAACAGCAGCAGCCACGTTTGGCAGTTTTTCCTTCTAACCGAATGGGGCCCAGGGCACAATTGCTGTTGCTTATTTTTCCTTGCACCTATGCATGAACAGCAAGAGCCTGGAAGCCGACATGTCGCACAGCGGCCCTGGACCAATGAAAATGCAGCTGCGTTGTCACACTGGCCATGAGCCAATCAGAAAGCGGCCAACACTTGGAATCTCATGGCATACTTAGGTGTGCCTAGCTGCATCTGGCCAAGGCCAGTATCTGAACTGGCCCTGGGGCGCTGACACTTGGGTCCGACTGGAAGCTACTGGAAACTTCCACGAGCAGGCCCAGGCAGATGGAAGCTGCCAGCACTTTTCCATAAAGTGCCTCCCTCGTGGTGAGACATTTAGGCACTTGCCTCTCGTGCGGCAGCGCTGCTGGCTTGCGCGCTCAGAGGCTGCTGGTGGAAGTGTTGGGCGAGCACAGTCGTCAGGTGGTGGGTGCTGCGTGCAAGCAGCGCCATAGCCCAGCCTGCCATAGCCGGGATGGGGCTACGGGAAGGCAGTGGAGGTGGTGGTGGTCTTCGTGGGGAGAGAGGAAGAGAGAGAGCTGTGGGTGAAGATAAGGGTGAGCATTGAGAGGGCGAGTGAGAGGGTCCTGGCAGAGGTCTGCATGATCGACCTTTGGTTGCTGCTGATGATGTCATTTTAGAAGGCAAGAATAGTAGCTGTACGATGGTGGTCTGGGCGCTGAGCTCCATTAGGAGGAAGAGCTTCGAGTACATTGTTGATGGGGGCGAGAGTAAGCTTTCATTGACATTTGAGCCTGCTGCTTTGGTTCTCCTTCGGTGTGATATCGGCGCGTTTCTGCTATCTGGACAGCTTACTCTGGCTTTCAATGTGATTTTGCAATTTGGAATTCTGTCATTTCCTAGGCCACCAGAGTGGCCCAGGTCCACTTGCCCGGCCAGGCCAAAGAGAAAAAAATAAAAAAATAAAAATAGATTTAGACTTTTATTTTAAATTTGGTAAAGAATTTTGATGTGATGCTGAGGCAAAAGTTGTTCATTTTATTTTTCTGCATAACAAAGTTTTTTTCGAATTTTTTGGATTTTTTTTTTTTTTTGGCTGGGACCTTCCCTAGTCCTTGCACGGCCGGGCCGCCCGGGAAAATTGGGTGACCCGGGCGGCCCGGTTGGTAGCCTAGGTCATTTCGCTATTAACAGAGAAAAAAATTGACGGACAACTCTTTTCGAAAGGCGAAAGTAGAACAGCACTTTTCTCAAAAAAAAAAAAAAAAAAAAAACAGCACTTTTCTATGAAGTTTCGAGGAGGCTTGATTAAGAACGAAATTTCAAGGCAAGATTGAATTTTCCTCGATTAGAAACATACTTGGAAGAGGATGGGTGAAATATCCTTCAGCAGAAATTCGGAATTAGCGCCTAGAGGAATTTCCGAAATCATTATCAGAAGAGAAAAAAAATCACCATACTGCAGTTCTAACTAGTTGCGATTAATTAATGGCGTGGTGGACTAATCAGGCAATATTTCGCTGATTGATCCGCCTGATATCCATCCACCCATCCCTCCATCAATCAATCAATACATTAAGTAATCATGCCCATAATTACCCAGGCGATTAATTAATCCATTGATTAATTCACCGATCGATCCACTACTTGATTTGAACTGCAACTTCGATGAGCAGATCCACTTATTCTTCGGTCCGCTCCGATACTAAACTGTCGCATGCCCAGAAGCATCAGTGGGACATGGCGCAGAACCCAAGAACCTACCGAGAAGGAGAATGAGCAATAACAATGCAGCGGAACACTGACACATGCAGATCTGACACATCCTGACTCAGCCTGACTGCAATACACACATCATCTCATACATACAAAAGTGGCATGGCGGCAAACACACAGAAGAAGGCCGCCATGACACCAGCGCATACATGATGAAGAAGATCTGATAGAGGAGACACTGTTACATGCCCAGTTGGGCAATGTATGTAAAGCCAAGGATCCACAATGTGATGAAAAGGACTGAATGGACAATGCAGTGCTAGAGGAATCTCAACAAGCAGTGTACATCCTGATCCATACAAAAATGGCACATAATAGCGCAGTGGATAAGACCTAACCTGACCGGGACTGACCTCTCTCACGTAGTACAAGACAGCGCAGCGGAATGCTAGAATACCAATGACTAGCCCAATCAATGTCGCAATGCAGACCAAACATACATCATCCTCATCACAARGTGTGAAGGGGCCTGGCGCTACACACAGGAAGAATGCGCCAGGTCCAGACCATACACAGATGAAGAGGAGGGGATCAGACGAAGAAGAGGGGGAAGATAGGAATGTCGTCAACACCAAGTCTTCGGTACAAGTCCCAGGTAATCCCTACGAAGAAGAGGGGGAAGATAGGAATGTCGTCAACACCAAGTCTTCGGTACAAGTCCCAGGTAATCCCTCGTCAAATGTCTGAAGCCCAATGTCGAGTCTGGATCCAAATGTCACCAATCCCACTCTCTCTCGTAGTCTGCTGATGCAGTGAAGTCAGGTAGCGAGAGGGTGAGAAGGAGATGGTGGACTGAGAAGAGGAAGAAGAAGAACTCTCTCTCTCTCTCTCTCTCTCTCTCTCTCTCTCTCTCTCT